TTAGACAATATCTTAGCCCGACGACCTGCACGCAAAGTCGAGCACTTTACGGTAGAACAGTTTAACGAGGACCCATACCGCACACCCTCGGTCCCTAAACAGACTGATCCAAGTGGTCTCCCACTCGCACACTGACCGTAGCCAGTGATGCTTGACTTCGGTGATCTTCTGGGAACCGTGTCTTAACAATCAGTCCACCGCGGGACCGAAGCAGGACCTATGGCTACTGATAATCCATTAAGTTAAAAATAATCCACTGTTGAAGAAAAAAAAAAGTCACGAGCCCGCCCTTTTGTTTTTAAATTTCAGTGTTTAATATTTACCTATGATAATTGCAAGGATTATTCTCTGATTTATAAATCATATTTTTTTTTTATTCATAACATTTAAGAAAATTTACATGATGATTTAAGGTTTACTTACTTCTTTCTCCTACTGTGTCGCCTATGTCTTTGCTGTGGCTCTGAATCACTTCCATCTCCTGACTGAGACCTATTTCATAGCAATAGTCTTAGACTTCACGTAAAAATGAATTGTTATAATAGTACTAATATTTGCAAACATTTACCCGTGTCTCCTATGACTTTGTCGAGAAGATTTGGACGATTTTGAACCTCTGGATGTTTTTGAAACCTCGCTTTCATTGTCTGACTGTCTTCTGCTATGGTGTCTAAAAAGAAAAAAAAGAGCATTTTTACTTAGTCATCGCAAAAATGAGACAAACGCGTTTTCGCTGACGGTTACTCAACCGCCAAAGTTAAGCTTATTTTTACAACAGTGTATCTTACTGTTTAGTATTTTATTCATTTATTTTTTTGCCCAATTTTCATGAATATTGCGCAATTTTCTAGTATTGGCGGTCGAAATGGGCTACAGGTGGCATAGAGCAAAACTCTCTACACCTATGGCAACACTTCTTTCACCATTAGCGTGTGGAGAGTCATAGAAGAAGGAAGTGCGTTAGCTTCTGTCTTGATTTTCAAATAGATTAAAATCTTTTAAGTTAGGAAACTATATGGAACTGAAAACTACATTAAACATAGTTCTAAGAGAAAGCGTCATGGAAATTTTTATAAATATTTTTAACAATTAAATACAAAAAATATCAAGAAAAGGAAAAATATCGTAGGATATTCCTATACAACTGAAAAGGGGAGGAGAGAGAAGGGGGAAGGGTCAAAGGCATGGAACCGGTCTTCTCCCCAGATGGCGTATTCGAGCGTTGCGATCGCCTGTATCTGATATTATATTCAGCAGCATTTAAATTTTGTAAAATACTATTTCACTTACTTCCTTTTTCTGTAATCGCAACTATTTGTACTTTCTATGGATCCAGTTCTGCCATGAAGAGGATATCTACGGGAGGGCAGTGCTCCCGCACTTCTCACTGATCTCGGAGATGGATTGGTGCAACTGGAGTATAAACCTCTCGAACTAGAATCAAAACGAATAAATTATTTGTTGCTTTCATATTGGTACTTTAAAATATGATTTAGCCACTCTTATCCGCAGGCATTAAAACGATATTAAGGGGTAAAATAAAATGTCATCACATTAAAATGTTATTATTATCGGAAAAACTCATCAGCTATTGTCCAATTTCTTACTTTTAAATGCGCTTGTAAAGATTCGCTTGTCAGTCAAGGAAAAGGAATATAAAGCCAAATCATTAGAATCAGATGGGGAAAAAATACAATTTTTTAATATTAAATAAATTATTATTTAATTGTTCCTTTTTTGTTTTATCTCAGTTAACATTTAAAAGCTGTTATTATAAATAGTAATATTAATTCGTTGATTACACTCTCACTTATTTTTGTGTTAACTCTTAATTGAAATGGTGAAAAAAAGATTCTAAATAAAGAATAAATACAATAGAAATAAATTTAAAAAATGTGCAACCATTTTGATAGTAGAAAGCCATTCTTTTCGTTTCACCACCAGACAAAAATATTTTCGAGAAACTATATCATCAAAATGACGCGAGCATTTAATCAAGACTTTCTGATAAATATTCACTAACTTCAAGCTTATGTGCATCACAGTAAATTGTTCTTAACAATTCTATTAAATAAATTCGGTAGGTACTTGGTTTGAATTGCTCGGGGAATAGAACCTGGCATAAGTGATTTGGGTACGAATCTCAAAGATGACGTTTACTGCTTCCGACGACAGCGTTGACATAAACTTTCTTCAGCCGCAGATAAGATATAATAGTTTTCAATCGTTAGGCAACTATATGTTTTACTTGAATTACACTTTTACTTGAAATGCCCGAAAGCAATTGTCATGCAGGATGCTTGACTAAAGAATCTCCGTGCTTTATGAAGTGTGTTTAAAATAAAGCTACGGAATTTTATTGAGTATCATGTATCATCCACTCAACGTTTGCCAGTAAATAATGGCTTCTTAACGATGATTGTAAATAAAAAGAACATCAATCGATCTTTTTCACTTACCCAAGTCTCGGATCGTCCCATGGTGCTGGTACCACTTTATATGGAGATGGTACGACTGTGGGCACTGAAGTAGATCTATGGAGAGCTGGGCTAAAATTCGAAAAGTATTGACGAATAAAGCAATTTTATTTAAAAATCAAACGATGTAAAATGACGTATTTTTTAAATTTAATTCTATTAAATACTTACATCATAATGGGATGTGGTGGCAATGGGGACATGATGTTAGTGGGTTCCAGAATATGTTTAACTCCTTCTTCTTTAGATTGTGTTCCAGCTTTGAAAAGAAAACAAATGCATTATTATTATTTTTCCCAAAGATGTATTTTAACCCTTTCGGTGGGCACAGCAAATTTTGACTAAAACTTTAGACAGGCAACCTATTAGCTACTGTGCTTATAGATTATAAAATTTTAATAAATACTTGAACTCTATGTTCTTTAAAAAATAGTGGTTGCTATGAAACAGTGGACCTTCAGAAGCAAATAGTTTTACATTTTTAGTTGCTTGCAATACTTTTGGAATAAGTGTTGCTAGACTGGTTAAATGCAGGATATTTTTAAAATATCTAACCACGATGTGAAGACTGTAAGAGGTGGCATAAAAACGTGACTTAGACAAAAGAACTGGGATCACAAATTCGAAAGGCAACTTCTGAACAGAGTCGTCGCGTTGTATGAAAAAATAAAGAGCAAAAAATTACACTTAATAAAAAATATTCAACCCAAAGTATAAAAGCACGTTTATCAGTGCAACTTTTTATGTTTAAATGCATGTTTATCAAAGTAACTTTTTACGCAAAATCTCTCACATGAAAAAAAAAAAGCTTTTTTAATAAAACAAAGGAAAAAATTGCCGTAACAATAAAAAAAACGTAACTATTATTTCTAGGAAACTATTTTATCTACTCCTTTCAAATTTTGAGTTTTAGCATAAAAAGTCATGCAAATAAGCAGGATATACGCTACACATTATTTGACAATATATTATTTCATTTGATTCACAAACAACGAGTCCCATATAGCGATCATCCTATGCTTTCTCTCTATGTACATCAGGGTCTTGAACACCAGCAGCATTTTATTGAAGTACTATAGATACCAACAGTTGTATTCCTACTTTATTTAAATAACTAAATCTTGCTTTCAAAATGATCTATAAAAATTAATTTGAGATTTTTGTCGTTATGTTGATGTTAAAACTTTCTTTTTTTTTTAATGTGCGTTGAAAATTTTTGATTTTAATAATTTGTATATGCCAGCCAAACTAATTTGTGTAAATAATCAACCCCTAGCACACATAAATCTACATGTTTTTCAAGAAGAGAAAATTAGTTTTTCTAATTTAATTTCAGAAACAAAAGCTGGATAGATGAGAAACAAATTAGAGAGATTTTGCATAGCGTTTATCTTACGTTAACCATAACGTGAAACTTATTTTCTTCCCTTAACCGATACTGCAATTTTTTCGTAAAATTTTGCGCATGCTCTGCAAAACTCAAATAGCGTTAGCAGGAAACAAGTAACGCTATGAAAAATCTCTCTACAATTCTCTAGATGGTTTTAAAGTTTGTCAACAAAAAAAAGAAGAATTTTTTTTTGTGTGTGTATCCGATATGGAGATAAACTGCCGGCTATGATTTTTCTCTAGGAAATTAAAATTTATACATACATATGTTCTAAAAAAATATATATTTTATTGCTTTATAAACTTAGGTTTATATAATTTAATATTAATCCGTAAACTCAATAAAGGAAAACAATATTGTTAACTCATAAACAATTATCTTTACCAAATTTAAGAAATAGTTTCCCTTAAGCAGCATTTTTCTTCAAGCATTCACTTCTGGCTTTTATTGAAATTTGAATAATTGAATTAAAAAGTTTTAATAGCATTTTTGATTAAAAATATTCTTGCAATTGTAACAAAATAATAATAATATTAATAATAATAATAATAATAACAAAAAAGCTTAATTATTATTTCAATAGTTTCACTTACCATCAGCTCCGTCTGGCTGTCCAAGTCTTTTATTAAAACGACGACTAGGAACTCGGACAAAAGTCGGCGGGGGTCTTATTCTGGATTTACTGTTCATTGACTGCGAACTTTTGTCTAACCTATTTCTTCAAAATAAAAAATAATAATTTTAATTATAATAAAGAAATATTGTTGTTTGGTAGATTCAAATTTAGAATTTTGCCCCATTTCGCTTGTTTTAATTACTGCGCTAAAAATATAGTTTATAATTTGCAAGAAAAGAAAATAAGGGAAGGATTAAATCCTTAAAAGTTTTGATTATAATTAAGGATAGATTACACTAAAAGATATACACTAGAAACTTTTAATTAGACTTAAAAAATATCATTTTTTTTTAAGTGAACACAGTTACGAGTTACAAATAATAGCGGTTAAGATTTATTGCTTTTTCATTCACTAAATCTTTGATTTTCAGTATTATTTTAGGGATAAAAGGGATAATATCTTGAATAAAAGTACATCATGTGTGTTAAATAATGCGGGTATATGAATCAATTATTTCGTGCAAACGATATTTTCAATATAGTATTTAATGTAGTACTTCGTGCGTGCAAACGATATTTTGAGCAAAATTTTATATTAAGAGAAGAAAAAAATTATCCCCCTAAAATATATGTATGTAAAATCTAAGAATAATCATGTAATGAGGGCCTTATTTAAATGATAAGTTCCATTTAATCTTACCCATAAAATTTGTTTTCGATGCCAACAATTTTTCCACTTTGTCCAGGAACTTCTCGAACTTGTGTTAATCTGTAACAATAAAAAGTGAATAATTATCCGGAAATTTACTATTCGCAATCACATTTTAATATTAATTATTTTTAAAAAACTTATTTTTAATTTTAACCAATAAATTTAACTTTACTTACTTAAAAAATGCTCTATGGTCTACGCAGCATTTCCACAAGTGTTTACATGCTCTTTTGCTAGGTAGCTCAAAACCATATGTATTCTGTTCATTCTAAAAGAGATAAATTATTTAAGTTTAAATGGTTTGATTTTCTTATGCTTTTTACAGTTCAATTGAGTTCTAATAATTGTTAAGTTAACTATTTAAGTACTTACATTTTTATCTCTAGCTTTTATCATAAAATATTTCCTTTTATAATAAACTTTTGTTATTCTTGGCCTGTAAGAAATGTTATTCATAAATGTATTGATTATATTAAATTTTCAATCTTAACAAGAAAGAAAAAATATAACTACATATGAATATATTACTACTACTATATAAAGAATCTTTTTTTTTTTCCCTAAAGAATCAATAATTTTTTTCTACTAATTAAAACACTCTTTTTCCTTTTCTTTTTTTTCGCTTTTATTAATTTTAAGTTAAACTGGAATAAAATGTCAAATTTGTTAACGGTTTTTGCAATAAAACGATCTCATATAAAAGTAAAAAAAAAATTATTTTCTTCATTTGTAGCTTTGTTCATTTCATGGGTAGAGAATACTTTTCATGTTGTTCATTTAAATAGTTTTTTAAGGCATCTAATATTGCATTGAAAAACTTGGCATTCACATTATCTGTGAAGACATATGTTAAAAACAGCACTCAAATTTTGATAAATTTTCAATCTATTGTTGTAGAACAATTTGTGACTCAAACGGTTTTATTTTGGAAAAAAAACAGCTGATTTTTGGAATCGTTTTCAATTTTTAACAATTGTCTTAAATTCGAAAAAAATAGAGTGAATGTACTACACTACACGCTTTAAAGTTTTAATTTAAACTATTTTAATCACTGAAGATATAAGTTATTATCTGAATTCTTCTGCTTTTAATCTCCGCTTACTTTTTATATTACTGAAGTTACTTTAAAACTTTCTAATGAAAGTTCAAACGAAAACCTTTCTAACAAATGTGAGTGTAGATAATTAGTTTTAAATTTTTTTATGTACACATTGCGTGCATATTAAACCGAATACAAGTACACATTACGAGTAGAGAAATCTAGCGAAGGAAATACTTATAAAGAACTGCATCATTTTGCTCTACAAAAAAATATACTTCTTGATAATGTTGTAGAGTATAGAGAAATCCCCTTTCTTTGCGCAAAAAAAAAAAGTTTGACTTTTTGTGAGTCACTGTCGGTTATTTTTGCAAATTAAATTTAGAATTTTACAAGAAATAAGTTTGGTCTTTAGAATTTTTCCATTAGATTTTCAATATATTTAATTGAAGGCAAATAAAGATTAAATCTTTGTTTTATTAGAAATATTGAGACATAAAGAATTTTTTTCGTTTAATATGCAATTTTAAAAGAAAAAAACACACTATGCAAAAGTAAACAATTATATAATATATCAATTCGATATTAATATTTTTTTAATGATCATTTTCTCACCAGAAATAGTTTCCGACTCTTGTTTTATTCCTCAACACCAGAATACCACTTGGCGTTAATCCTAAATAGTATTCTATGCTGTCTTCTCCCTGAAAAGATTAAGAGAATAATGCGTGTACTAAGTAGTTTGTCAAATTGCTAGACATTTATAAAATAAATTTATTTATGCCGTTAGAATTATTTGAGTTTTACTAAGGAACTTATCATTGTTTAGTAGTAAATAATTTTGTGCAATAAGAAAATAAATTTTGCTAATTAGTATTTAAGGATTTTTAGCGCAGTGGTTATTTCTAAATGTAAAATTTGAGTGAATTGATTCAATATTTTCAAGGAACAAACTAAAAATAAAGGCCTTTTTAAATTTTTATTTTTCAGGAAACATTCAATCGATTTCGTTTAACTTTCGGATTTCAACATATATTATTAAATGCGTTTTTTTTTAAAATTACGCATTTGTGGAGAGAACGTTAAATTTTTATGCCTAACAATTTAGATGATTTTTCCCCCTCTTTAATAAGTTAAATAATAAAAAATTAAAAAAAAAATTTTATGATTAAATTAAATAATAATTATAAATAGTAAAAAATATATCTTTTGTATTAAAATATGTGTATAAATTATTTATCACAGAATACAAAGATCGCTTGATTTTCGTTATAATATTTAGAGACACTGTGAAATACGCAAAAAGAAAAAAATAACATAAAAGATAAGAAAAAAATCATGTTGAAGATATTCATCTTTCAACTTGCTTTGTGACTAAATTATTAAGAGAACTCTATACCACGAGAAAAATGCTACATGGCAAATTCTATTATTTCTACATTAGTGATTTAAAATTTAAAGTATTAAAAAAAACCGCGTTCAGATAAATCAAGGATAAACCCTTAAGTGTTTTTTTTTCTTCCAATGCCCACTTAATTTACACTCGTCAGTCAGGTATCAGTAGGGCAGATTTGTTGGCCACTCTTTCAGGGACACCATATTAGGTGGATCAACGTTGCTCCCACAGTAAGAACATATAGTACAGAGAATGAAGGAACATTCATGCCTTGTCCGGGATTCGAACCGAGGACCTTTCTGATGTGAGGCCAGCTCTCTGAACCCTTAAGACTTAAATGATGGAAAATTTTTGTCAGAATGCAAACAAATTATGACAGGAATACCTGCCGTAATTAGTCTGCATTATGATATTTTGAAAGAAAAATAATTCAGAATTTTAAGTTTTTTTTTATTTAGTCTTGGATTACCTCAGATTTATTTTAACATACTTTAAAATTTAAAATACTAATTTGGGTAAAACAGAATTTACAATAAAGTGTTTCTTCCGCAGTATATAGAGTGCTCTTAAGACCATATTTTCACACTTATCTCAGGATCAAAAATACAAAACCATCAAAGAAATTTCCATGTTAATTCAGATAAAGTATGTTATCGCCTGCACTAATTAATGAGCCATATAACGTGAGCTGGATTCCTCAAGCCATTGAAATGTCATATTTCTACGTAAAGATCCGATTACCAGATCAAAAGTTATTACAATGTAAAGTTTTTAGTTTTCGCGAACAGTACAGATACAATGTATCTACATTGTTAAAAAACAGAATTTATCTGTCACCACATTGTAATAATAATTACGTTAGTTATAATTTCTTTTATTAAAAGACAGTGTGGAAACAAAAGCTAAGTATGTATTTATGAAGAAAAAAAAGTATACGAAAAGTTAAATGGTAGTGCCTATGCATGGATCTTCACATTTCACGGCTAAGGTTTTTTTACCTTACCTAATTAAAAATAAGTTATTTTAAATTCTATATGTTTTTGCAAAGATACAATTGTTTTTTTTATTTTCAAAACGTTATTTGCAATCATTCACACTTAAATTGTAGTTGTACCCTGAGGTAAAGTGCCTCATAAAACTGGTAGGATAAAATTTCGCAAGGGGATTCGACTTCGAGGAAACCAGAAAATTGAAGATCACGACAAGCTGAATGATTAAATCTCTAATCTGCAAGGAATATTTATCAAAAGCACTCTGGGTGTATAAAATCACAACAGTCCCTATAGAATGTTATAAATCACATTGTTATATTATTCATCGTAATACTCCCTAATAATGATACATTACGCTTCTTGTATAAAAACTAAATCCATACGAGAACAATAAATGCCCCGGAAAAGTCATAGATGTGTTTCAAAAGCTTTTATACAGCTATCTGATATTCATTTATCATTACAGGATTTATTAGTTGCGCGTGGTATCAAGACAAAAGCCATTACTTACCATCACAGGATGAAGATCAACCCCGTACATATCCAGCCATTTTATTCGATCTAAGAAGCTAAGTTCCGCCACTGCTGGAACTGCACCGCTAAAGAGAAATAGAACAAAAATAAGTTGCTTGTCTTTCCTAAATAGTGGCATTTGGATGACTTCTTTTAGCTTATTGTTTTTAGATTTCTATGATTTATGAAAAAGAAACAGGTTACAAGTTGTCTTACGAATTGTTATTTCACATCAAGGACTTGCGTAGTAATTCTTTTTTTTTTAAAAAGTTGACATTTCATTATGATTAATTCTTCTCTTGAGGGACTGTTTCCAAAACCGGAAGAAAAAATGGATTTATATCAATAATAACAAAAAGGGAGGAGCTTGTGTGCGTCTCTTATAACTCCAAAATCGTTTGTTAAATTTGGACAGTAAGTGCAAGAGGGGATAATTTTATCCAACGGCCCTAAAAATCGTTAAAAAATTTCTAATATACGAGAGAGACGTTTGAAAAATGTATTTTTCTCATTGGAATAGTTAGCCATTGTTGTAAATTAAACTTTAGATGATATTGTTTTTTTTTTCTCCTTCAAATATTTCAAAGATAATATCAGTAGTGTAAGCAAGCTTACAGCTCTATTTAATCAAAAAGGGAGTTTATTCCCCAAGTTCGTTAATATTTTTTTCCTTACATCAGATAAGCTCAATGATGATCTATGTCACTGTGCTAATATCTCTATAAAGTTATCTGAAACCACGTGTTTAATTTGTTTATGGCTACGCTTTTGAAAAGTACTTCCTTAAAATTAAATGACTTAAAATCATTTGCAATTGAAAGAAATTGAAATAAAAAGAAATAAATCATGCACTAAAAAGCCAAAATTAAGGAAGAAATGTACTTATTCATTCAAAGAACCTTAAAAATCGCCAATGATGCCTTTTTTTTTTTGGTAATAGGTGCTACTGGTATTTACAGAAATAATTAAATCTTTCGATCCAATTAATTAAATAAAATAATATATATAATGTATTGAAAAAATTTCTGCTTTCATAAATTTCGGATAGAATTTATAGAAAGATGAGAGGAAAAAGATAATAAAACAGAATTAAAGTTTCCAGGTGTCTAAAGCATACATTGCATGAAAGCAATACTTACCTAAGAGTCTTATGAATGTCAGCTGCTTTTGATTCGAGATCTTTTGTTTGGTTAGAAGAAAAGTTAAATTCAGCTGCGTAGCCTGGTAAATGTCGTCTTGGATCATAATCTCCCAACTCCGCTGTTGATCAATAATCAACAATAAATAAATAAATATAGAAATAGTTTTTAAAATTCTTGTCAATACCTTTTTGATGAAAAATTAGAAATGAAAAATAAATAAAGTCTTACTATAAACAAAAATAAAATGCAATTTTTAAAAGAAAACAAAATTTTCAAATTAAATACTAAACAAACCAGCACAATTACATTTACATTTTATAAGCATTTTCCCTTGTAAAATTGAAGACAAATTTAAGTTTAATTAGTTTCGAGAAAACAAATTTAATTGTTCTTAATTAAATTTAATACTTTCAGGGATATAAAAAATTATGAAATATACCACATGTCTTTATTGGAGCCAGAAAAGTTTTTTATTTGTTAAATAAATATAAACAAAAATATGCACATAAAAAACCATTAATATTTTTTTAATAAAGTTTGAGACAAATTCTTGCATTCTAACAAAATATACATAGATAGAAAGCACACTTACACATTAATATTCTTTAAACGCTTACTAACAAAATAGAACAAAAAAAAAAAAAAACGAATAGATTTGTATTTTCAAAGCATTTTCTAGTAAAAAAGAAAATAAATTAAGTAAAAATTCGTGAATTATAAACAAAACAATATTTAAGAAAAGAAAATTATAATTGTAAGCATCGTAAAAAAAATAGAATTTTAGAATTCTAAACAAATTAAATTTTTTAAAAAAAAATTAGGCTTAATTAATCTTAAATAAAAAAAATACATAAAATAAAAATGTCACGACACAATTAAAATGCGTCTCGATTGGTCTCAATAAAGCTTTTAATTTATTAAATGAAACATTAATTATGAAGTAAAAATTGCTGTCCACAAGAAAAACTTCTCGAAAATAAATATACTATAGACCCCAATACGTTTTAACTCCGTTCCCCTTAAAAGTAAAACTAGAAATAAAATAAAATACACAGCATGAATTTCCACTTAAGATTTTTATTATTGACCGATAAAAGCAATATATTCGTCCAAAAATATAAAGAAAGACCATAAGTTTTCCCCTACCTATTAAGAGTTTTCTTCCCTCTCTTTGGAAAGTTTCAAAAAAAAGAAAAAAAAAGAAATGCGTTCCTTCAAAGACAATAAATAAAAATTCGGTGAAAACCTTTTTCGCCAAAATCATAAGTCATGCTGATTGAGGTGCGCTTTTATTAGTAGATTGTTCACCTTTTCGTATCTAAACGAATACTGCCGTTTCAATGAATGGAGCTGAATTGCTAGCTAAATACAAATAAAGTACGTAACTTTTATTTATTTATTTATTTTTACTTATAAAAAAGAGTAGCAGCAGGGGGTGTGATCAAAGGTTTATGAAAAGTTGCTCGTAAAACCTTCATTCAATAATCCAATTACATAATCAAGGAACTTCGAAAAAAAAATGCATTAATGCATTACCTTATATTTTCATCTTCTTTTTAATTTCTTTCCGCGTTATTTCTGAATCTGCACAATTATGGCCGTATCTATGCTATATTTTTGCCTGACATTGATCCTTTTAAAAATGCTATGCGGGAGGAGAGATAACATTAGGTACCTTAGAAACCGTTAATAAATGGTTGTAATCTTGCTTATATATTTGAAGATTATTCGGTTTTCTATTTAATCTGTATTTTAATTTTAAAATTATTTCTAGAAAAATAGCTTTTTTTTTCCCGGCTTAAATATATTTTTCTAAAGCTTGAATGGGTTTTTTTCCCCTCGAACATTAGTGCCGTGATATAATTTTAAATTTATTTTTTATTCACNTTACAACTTATTCGTTAAACTGGGGTTAAAGTGTATAAAAAGAATGTGAATTTTTATATAATTGAAATGAATTTTTTTTCCCTCGAACATTAGTGCCGTGATATAATTTTCAATTTATTTTTCATTCACTCTATATATATATATATAATTATTTTACAACTTATTCGTTAAACTGGGGTTAAAGTGTATAAAAAGAATGTGAATTTTTATATAATTGAAATGAATTTTTTTTCCCTCGAACATTAGTGCCGTGATATAATTTTCAATTTATTTTTCATTCACTCAACATATATATATATAATTATTTTACAACTTATACGTTAAACTGGGGTTAACGTGTATAAAAAGAATGTTTAGTATATATTTTTAAATACATTTAGTCAACATATTAATTTGCTGAAAATTATTAATCTGCCGATTGGTTCTTATAAATTGGTAAAACTATTTTATATTCAAACATATAAAAAATTTAAAAATCCATTTATTTATAAACTGAAATCTGCCGACCGGACTGTATAGGGGTCAAGGAACTGGCCTTGCATCGGAAAGATTCTCGGTTCGAATCTCGGGCAACGCATGAATGTTCTTTCATTCTCTGTACCATCTATCTGTCCTTAGTGTGTGTGAGCAACGTTGGCCCACCTAATATGGAGCCTCTGAAAGATTGGCCAACAAATCTCTGTAAAATGCCTGAATTGACAAACTGTTAACGTAGGTGGGCATTGTGTGGAAATAAAAAAAAAATAAACTGAATTCTAAATTTTCTTAGAAAAAATTATAAATTACTGAGTAATTATTAATAAATTGTTTATGAATTACGATTATGTAAGGAAATAACGACTAAAACGTCCACTCTCCGGTATAGTGAATTTTTGCAGAGCCTCTTAAATCATCTGAAGTATGAATATTAGCCACTTTTCAGTTACAATATCCTAATCGTCTAAACATTCGAAAATTAATAAAATACTTACACTGTATGGAATAAGCAAAAAGCTCGGCAGCAAGATCATACGTCAACGGCAATCGCCCTTGATAAATGTCTTGCTTGACTTGCAAGAAAAATTGGTACCTAAAAAAATTACAATGAATGAGCGTAATAGTTGCAAATAAAGGATTATTCAAATTTAGACCTTTCTTTTAGAAATTTACTGTAACTCTAACCAGTTCTGTACTTATAGCAAGAAAGGGTGATTCTTACGAAAAATTAATATTCAAGGTTTTTTTTTTTTTTTTTTTTTTACTAAATGCTTTGTTATGTTATCATAAATAATGCATCAAAACTCCTTTTCTCATGCACCATACCTCATTTTTTGAGGGAAATGAGGGTGATTTGAGGGGGGGAAATAAGTTTCTTCTACACAAACAAGTGAGACATAGTTAGAGATAAAAATTAATTTTGATTCGATTTTTTTAAAATTAAGTCAACTATTTAAAATCGTGTTATGTGTGATTTAAATAATATAATTTAAACTATTTTATGAACTTTAAAAGTTTAGTTTCATACATAAATCAAAAAACAGTTTTTAAATAAGATAAAACAGTATATAGGATTATAGTAAGTTTATTCTTATTTTTAAAAAAAAATCGCCGCTTCAAAATGTATTTAAAATTGCCTGAGAAGTTTGCGCCAGACAATTTTCTTTTCAATATAAATAGATATAGCAACGATAAATCAATATGCATGCATTAAAAAATAATTTTTCGAAAGATTTATAACATCTTAAAAATGATGTAACTAAAAAAATTATTTCATTATCAACATTAATTAAATATACACATATACGCACGCTGAGTTATTTTAAAATGATTTTACTTTTTGCATTTATTTTTCAGGAAAAGGAGATAGCCTATAAGAATGACTGTACTGAATACAGTTTGTTTATATACTCACAGAAAACTTATGCTACTGATTTATTTCAGGATCGGTTTAAATATTACTGCGAAAATTTTTTAATTGAATTGTTTTAAGTTGAATTTAAAGATATAAAACATTCCATCCTCTCAAAAATAAAGTAATATTTGGATGGTTCCTTTCTGTATTTCCAATGTTTTTCAAATTTTTAAATATTAGGATAGATATTAAATGCGATAATGTAGTAATTTTGAACTCTACTCTGAAGAGAAAGGAACAAAAGGAGAAAATAGCTTTCGTTTTTAATGATAGAAAGAGGAATACTTCATGGCACTTTAAAACAGTCGAAGGAAAATCATGACTTTACTTTAGTAAATCTCATCTTCTATGGGATTTCATTGATAATAAAATAATTTTCTACCAATTACTAGTGTCAGTTTTAAAAGCACAATATTTAATACAATCTTAACCTTTAATCTTTATTATCACATATTTTTTTAAAAAATTAATTTAAACTTCATAATTAATCATTTGAGCATTGTATACATTTTTGCCCACAATGTGTTTCGTTTTAATAACACACACTTGTAACTGCTTAATTTATGACAAACCGAAATCCTTTAAGAATTCACCGCACGAAGCCACTTCGGTCTCATAACAATAATGATTTTACAGGAAGAATGGCAGTAACAACTTCACTTGAAGTTAAAAGAAGATAAATGAGAAAATAAATTGTTATTACGGCATGTTTTCTAGTGTGGGTGAAAAACATATTCTGCTTATTTTTATGTTCTTCATAATATGGAGATGATTTATGGAAGAAGTGTTAAAAAGACAAATAGCATTAAAAATAATCGCTGCTGTTTTTTTTCTTCACGCCTTTATATTTTACCACCTTTTCAAAAATATTGAAAAAACGAACATTTATCTCAAATAGTGTTCATGTCACAATTATTTCTTCATTTGTATTTCCGTTTTTTTTCCAATCAGTCAGTTGAAATTTTATTAATATTAAGCCGAAGGTCTAGTTAACTATCACAGCTAATATATATTTTTAGAATCCGTTCCAAAAATAAAGAATCTAAAATGTATATACTTCACAAACGAGCTGCGATGGCTCAGGGGATAGAGCGTTCGCCTTCCAATGAGGGTTCGAATCCCAGTCGATACAAATTCCGGCTTGCACCGACCACAGTGCTGACGTATAATATCCTCAGTGGTAGACGGATCATGGGTTACAGTCCCTTTGCTGTCAGGTTAACCGTGGAAGGTTATTGTGGTCTTCCTCTCTATGTAACGCAAATGCGGGTTAGCTCCATCAAAAAATCCTCCACGAAGGCAAAATTTCTCCCAATACTCGATCCAGGAGTTCCCTTGTCTTCTGGATTGGGTTCAAAATTACAAGGCTACGGAGTTGAACATTAGTTGTCATAAACCCATAAAATTGGGTCAGCTGTTCAACGACGGGTATGAAACCTCTCTATGAAACGAGTTGCGAATTAGTATTTAAGCGAAGAAGAAATATAAATGCTGTCAGATCCCTATTTAGGAAGACCGGAGAAAAAACATCAAAACTAGTTTTACTACCTTATGAAACTTGGAGGTATTTTTAATAATCATCTTTCAGCTTTCTCTACCACTCAAATAAGATTTGATGTTTTCAATCTCAGTCACTAATCACTGAATTTCGATGACGTTTTTGTTCCACCCCTGAATATTGATTTGCGACTCCTAATGTGAATATCTTTTGACAGGAATTCTAAAAATCTGTATTAAGGGCGATCATTAAGAGAAATCTATTAAATCCAATATGCCCATTACCGTTCGTTAACCGACCCGACAAATATTTGTAAAGACTAAAAGCTTAAAACATAAAAGTTTTAGAGGCATTTTAATATTGCAACGGAAATTAATTATAATTCATAACAATGTTAGTCTGACACACTTTTAACGGGATACAGTTAATGTTTACGGAATTTTAAAAATTTTCTTAGTATAATCAAATTTTTTCCTGCCAAATGTACTTCGGAAGAAAGAACGCGGCTATACGATAAAATTTTTAGAGTATTAGTTTGTCTTGCAGGTATTTTACAAATTTTTATTGTACTCAAATTTAAAACAGTTTTAAAATCAATTGTTAATGAAATTTTAAATGAAATTTTTCATAAAAGTAATTTTTAACAATGATATCCATTGATACTTTCTAATTTCAATTTTAATAATTACAAAATTTAAACGTAATGATAAATATAAAATATTAAGAATAATAAAAAATGATATGATTTTTCAAGTTCTCTAACTTCTTAAGTATATAATATTTGAACTTAGTAAATATTAAAAAAAAAAATTATATTGCTATGTTCTGTTGACACTTACATTTATGTTTATATTGCAATCGCCACGATCCAATATAATTACCACGCGCCGTTATTTACAATCCAATTGTTTATTTAAAAAACGCGTCTCGAGTATAACCTTTAATTATGTGCCGTAATTCGTAACAATAAGATTTACAGTTACTTTGTAATTTCAATGAACACAATGATAAATGTAAAATATTAGAAATAAAAGAAGATGCCATTTTGTAAGTTTTCTACATATTTGAATTTATAAAAAATTGCGAAAAGTTATATTTATATTGTTATGTTATGTTTATACTTACAACTATGTTTATATTTACAATTATGTTTATATTGCAATGGTCACAATTCAATATATTAACCCCGATATATCGATTCACGATATTTACAATCCATTTTCGTAAAAAATTTTTTTTTAAAAAAAGCGTCTCTAACATTACGTTTTTTTACGTATCGTAATTCGTAACAATAATACTTACAGTTCTACACATAGTTATGTTTGATATCAATTTTATAATGCTATCGCCACTTTCATGAATCTAAATTTCGAAACTTTTGTCAATAATAATGAAAATGTTAAATTATAATATTTAATTATGATAGTTAATAAAAGCTTTGCAATAAAGTGTTCCTACTTAAACTATATTAACTGATTTAATCTTCAAACAAAATTCTCGGTGATTTTTAAAATAAACAATCTATTATTTATCCACCTGGATGCGAATAATAAATATCTTTTGTTCAACGCGAAATTCTCTGGAGGTTATGTATTTGGATAATGATAATGCGCAGAAAATTGCCTAGTCGATGTATTTACCTTTTTTGATCAATGTGGAAAAATAAGCATTACAAAACAGAAGTTTAAAACAAAAGGATTACTTCATGCCCAAATACGTAAACAAAGTTAAAGGTACCCCCCCCCCTAGACATCACGACTCATATACTTAGTCATGTAAATTAATTCTGAGCTAAGTTATAATTTCATCGAGTTGGCTTTATTTGGTGTTACTTCTGCCAATGTCCGATACACACTGAGGGTGTATGAACATTCAAAGAGAAAGATTTGAAATTAATTTGTCTGAGTATTCTGGAAGAATTATGGAAGAGGAGGCGTCTGCTATCACGATTTCGCCAGCAGCGCAAGTGCAACACGGAAACCGTGCATTTGACTGAAATTTCTGAAAAAGCTACTGAATGTCTTAACCCCTCTGTCCTTTTAGTCTCTGGAAAGGTAGGGAAAGTCATTCTGCTGTGATTGAAGCAAAGAATTAAATTGCAATAAAAATGTAGGTCAATATAGAGAAGAGGTTAAACCATCGTTTGTTAGGTGATAATTAATAATTTTTTAAATGTGCTTACAAAATAATAGAACGTGACTTTCCAATCAGGACGTGTCAGTTTTGACAATTGCTTAACTGATTATGAAAAGTTTTACATGGCTTTAAAAAAAACAATTACGTCTTATTTAATGACTCATAGAGTTTGATAGAAAAAAATGAAAAAAAGATACACGCAAATTTTATTGTGATGCAAATCATCATTTTTGACTGTAAATTATAGTGTATACTGTATTAAAAAAGCTCAAGTAAAAGCATATAAAATGTTCCTTTTGTTTATACATCAGCTTTGGTTCGAAAAGAAAATTTCGAATCTTTTGAAAATCTTGAAGAAAAAAAAACGGTCAAGCTAGATCATGCTTATACATACGATTTTAAGATTTCACTTAATTAATTTGAAAAATTTTAGATGTATCCAAGTTATTATTCGTAGTGTTGCATATACATTCAATATGGTTACGATAAATTCTATCGACCCACTAGTTTGTCCTCATAAAATTTCGTTCATACGATTTTTGTCCTTAATACTCATCTACTAAGATTTATAAATATTGTAAATGTACAGTACGCCAACTTACTTTGAGTTTACATACCTTATGTCCAATAGCAGAGTTAAATAAAACATACTTGATTGTAAGTAATTAGTTCCTCTTCATTGTGATACGCATTTGCAATTACCGATTGCTATTTTAATCGTGATTATAAGCAATTACAATTGTAATCATTATAACAATTATTTTAACTACTATTACAAATGATGATAATTAAATATAATCTTGATCACATTATAATTTTGATTACAAGTAATCGTATTATCTTAATTAGAGAGAAATTGATTACTGTAAATAATTCCATTTTACGAATTGTAATAGGTTAATTGCAATTCACTTGTATAATGAAAACGTAATTAGTTTTATTCAAAATACTCGCCACCAAGGTTTTGTTATTGTCTTCTGAGATGGGCTCAAATTTATCAATAAAGCTAATGAAATGCCATATTTCACCATTCAGATCAACTATACATTAACGATAATGAAACGAAGTAAAAAGGAACTAAGAAAAGACATATAAAGCACTGTTTGTATTTTTTATACATGGAGCCGGTTACATAATAAGTAAGCACTTAAGATTAAAAATTTGTGATTTTCTTATTTGTTGCAGACAAGCAATACGCAATACTTACGTTAAAAATTGAATTCGTTTTATCGTCAAGAATCTCTTGCAAATTTCAATAAACAAAAAAAATTTGGTTGAAAAGTTAAACTTTTAAAAAAACAGATTTAGGTAAGCAAAAAGAAGCTTCGATTTACTTATTTTTTGCTGAAATGAATGGAGAAGGTCCGAAATTACCAAAAACATGCTTAATGTCAAACCTGAACTAAGTATTAAAAAATGTAATTATAATTACTTTTACGCATGTAAATAAGTCCATAGGATTTATTTTTTTGAAATTGAAATCTAATATAAAATAAGGCATGCTAAATAACTTCTTAGGAGTAATTTGGTTACCATTATTTACGAAATTGTTACTATTTATGATTATTTATTCAAAATAAATATCTCTGTGAAGCATTTAGTTTTATACAGTTTTATAGCAAAAAACGAAATATTACTCTAAACAAAAATAAACATTTTACCTAGTTATTTCTTCTAAAAGTTTGCAAGGGTCAGAAGCATAGAACTTGACGCCAAAATAAAGAGTAAAAGTTTCCATTCCTATAAAAAAATATAAAAAAGTAACATCAGTGAAAAATAGAACAATCAAAAAACTGCTATCAAAACAAAAGCAAGACAACGATACAGAAAAATAAAGATAAATCTATAAAGAGTATTTTTGCTACACAAAAATAACTTCCCGTTTCCCGGAGGCCTCGTTTGCCCCTGATACTGATTTATAAACTCATTCAAACAGGAATAGAGAATAAAATCCCCAGATACATAAGAAAATGAAGCGTCCAGTCCCCTATGACTAATTTCGAGAAACATGGAAAAAATTAACTCGGAAGTAAAATCATAAATCTCACATACTAAGCTGCAGATCATTTCGCACAGGGAGTTCCTTCTTAGTTTTTGAAATTTATATCGTTTGCTAAGTTTTTAATCGATATAGTTTTCAATCGAATTCCGTGATGGAATAAATTCGAATGCACTTAAGCATCAAAGGAATTAATTGGATAGAAGTGATGACAATTTCATTTCATTTCTGTTTAGAGTCTTGAGAAGCCTAGTTTTAACGATAACAACAAAATTTGAAGTGATTATTGTTATGGAAAATAAAAACTTTCTATGTAGTTTCTCGGAAACTATGTTTTCCTACTTAAAAATAGGATATTGTTAATTATTATTAATAATGGAAATATTTTAATATTATTCAGGTCTTGTAAATAATGGCTTCGTGGCTTTTACCATAACAGACTTCGCATTATTTCGCATTATTCTGTTCAGCGAGAACTGAGAGTGAATTTAATTAAGGTTTGCTGTTTATCACCAACTTTACCTCATCTGTTAGTTCCTTACTGAGTCGTCAGTTCTTTTCTTTCTTACTATTAGACAGCTTAGTGCTAGTTGCCAAAATTTTGGCATCAATTAGCCAAAGGTAATGCCAATTGCTTACATTTGCTATTAGTTCTCGCTGAATAGAATATACAAGAAGAATTAACCAGAATTGTCTCCAAATCAGAAGAAGAATTGACTAAAATAAACTCAAACCAGAAGAATAATTTGCTGGAATGGACTCCAAACCAGAAGAAGAATTTACCACTATAAAATCCAACATTTTACAAGTGTGGTTCTACAGTCTTCGGAGGATTCTTTAATTTAAAAAAGTAAAAAGTGTGTGAAGAAAAATCAAATATATATTTAATAGGAGGGTTTTTAAAGACTTTGCGCCGCCAAGGCAATTGTCTTTACTTTTTCCTTCTTTCTTTTTCTTCGCCTATGAAGACACAGTTTCATGAAAATACTTAGTTTCTTATTCCTTCTGAATTTATTATTTTTAAATTCTTTCAACACAGTTAATAATCAGAGTCTGATGAAAGTATGTTTCCCTTCTATTTGTATTTTGAAAAACGCTGAAACATATATCAAATCGAGGGGGACCTTGTTTGGTTAAAATAAATTGGACAGGATAATAACTATGACAATCTTTTCTAACAATGCTGTTTACTTATATGTGTATGGGAAGGTAGCTGACCCCTGTTGCGAACGATGCAAAAGGTAAATGTTATTTTATTTATTTATTTGTATTTCTAGGTTCGTTATAACTTGTTTGATCTTCGAATTTAGCTTGTCGAATTCATTTCTATTCATTTTGAATTACACACATATTCTTTTTTATTTCTGCGATCCTTATTTGTAAAAATAAATCAGGGATGTAGTTAAATAATTTTTTTTTTCTAAAACAACAAGTTTTTATTTTTTATTACTTGGGTGTATTCGTTTATTACAAAAAGTTTCTGAATTTTTGGTGTACATCATAGATTGGAAGATAAATCTGAAATTCACCTGAAGAAAGAAAAAATCGTTAACCTTGGTCAGTAAAAATAAAAGTACATCCATTACTTGAAGAGTCCAGCGTGTAAGGAAGAGATTGATGGTAGACAGAACAAGTGCAAAGGTGGTTTAGAAAAAAATAATAATAAAAACAGTTCTTTCTGAATTATTTGAGAGAACATTTCCTTATTTACTTAATATCACAATCCATCCTTTTAGCAAATCGCATTCTTTTGATAACATAATTAAATGTTATTTATAATACTATTGATGAAATAATATAAACTTGCTTACTTTAAATAGGATTACATAGATTTTTTTTTATTACAAATAAAAAATATACATCCCAATTATTGATTTAATCTATTTCTGAGAAACGTTTAACATTCTTGTTTGGAATCGAGGAAAAAAAAAGCTGGTTGGAAGGAAGTTTTTTTAGTTATGTAAACCTACGTATGTCTGGAAAAGGAGAATCTTGACTTTAGTTGATGTCATTGATCAGAATGAGTAATTTAATATTTTTCTTTGCTGTGCTGACCATAATTTGTTTGTTACTTTATAAATTTATTTAATACAATGTCAGTTTCTAGATTTTTTATATTCTCTCTTATTTTATGCTGAGTTATTTTGGGAAATGTTCAGTTAGAATTTGAAAAGCATATTATTATAGCTTCGTATAGCAGTAGCATCCGTTGCTAAAATAATTATTGATTTCGGAAATGAATAAATGAAGAAAAGTAAACTTTTTTGAACATTTTAAAACTATTTTAATAATAATTGTGCTTCATCTAAAATCAATGTCTAATTATAATTTTTTTTTTTTTTTTTTTTTTTTTTTTAATATTTATGTTTTCTAAATCAATAAATGATTGTTTGACAATATGTTGAAATTTTTATCTCGCGCACACATCTGCAGATTCCATGGACATGAAACGTCATGTCCGTGGAAATGATGGTTACGTCTGTGGACATATTCATCTCATGTCTTTAACTTTATTAATTTGTGTATACACAGTGAAAACTCCGGATTAAATTACCGTGAAAGGTACCAGCACTCAGGGTGAAAATCCACTTCTACCGGAACATGTTAAGAAACAAAAAATCTGATATATCGTAATTTTTAAAGTAAATTCCGTAAATTTTTTATGGTAAAATAAATGGATTTTACAGATGATGCACAAAAAGTGCCGGTACTTTATACCATAATTCGATTCGGATTTTTTTACAGTGTACGATCTGAATTACTGCAACAGAGCAATTACCTAAGCTTTGATATCTCTAAAAAATTAACTTTATTCAAGAATTTGAAGAAAAAAAAACATCGCTGAAAATTCTTTTTTTTTTCTTCTTCTTTTTTTTAGGAAAATGATCTACATAAATTTGAACATTTATATTGAACTTTCATTTGGCGTTTTTTTTCAGGAGAAAATCCCTGCATACAAAAATAAAATCGAAAATTTCTACTGTTGAAAATTGCTGTTTCATATACAACACATTAAACTCAAAATTGTTGTAAATTAAACAAAAATTCCGTACCTTTCATCTGCTTCACTATAAATTTGTTTGGATCCAACCATTGCTACAAAGAGAAGAAGAAAAAAACATAAACAATGTATACATTATTAATTACATAAATTATTCATAAAAAAAGACAATTTAAAACGCCATTTATTACACATTTTTGCTTCGTATGAATTACGATGAAATTCATTAAAACTTGTGTACCTATTTATGTCTTACAAGTTATAATGATTGTCTACTAAAATAAACTCAATGGCGCGACATCCCATAGAGGGCCAAGGCCTACTGCTCCCACCTCAGTTTTTTTGACCTTGGGTAGATGTTCCGGTTAAGTGGTCAGCCGAACGCGGAACCCCCAGTTTTTAGTCCCAATGTTTGGTACTCATTTTATCGACCCACTGAAGGGATCAAACCCAAGACCTGTTTCACGAGAACACTACTGCTCAGCCATCTGGCGTCAATAATAATTGTCTACTAAGATTAATATGTTTTTCCCTTTTTATTACACAGTTTAATAGTGAAAGGAATTCATATCAAACTGTAAGTAAATATTTTCAAATGTTAAAACACATTAGCTGAGCATTATATACGAAACTATCTACGAAATTTATGTTAATACAGTTTACGGTTAATTTAATTCATTCAATTTAATATTCAAAAAATATACTACAGTGTAATACAATTAGATAAAAAAAATATTGTTCAATGTTTAACTATAAATTCAATTCTTACATAATACATTACAGTTATCATACATTCAATAAAATTGAATTTGCAACAAGAAATATTGTAAATTAATAATGATTTGAAAATGGATAGCTAAACTTATTTTAATATTCTCTGCGTACAAGGATAGTTTTGACCATAAAATTAAAAAAATTTCTCATTAAACCTATTGATAATAATTCTTGGATACTCCTTACACTAGAAAAGAAACATTGGTGTGTTGATTTTTGAAATATAACTCTTAACTAAGAAGACATTTAATGATTCAGACTGCTTAAAATGAGGCGAATCACATATTCGCTAGGTAAGTATCCAAAATATTTGTTATATTCGATTCCATGTTTATTTACTACATAAATATTAAGTTGATAAATTAATATTTATTTGATGTTTGTAAAATTCGAAAGAGTTGGAATGGAAAAAACATCAATGCATGCAATGTACGTGTATATTAGGCATTAACCTTTTTAAAAAAAAGGAAATACTGGGCAATGGGCATCACGCACTATTCCGTCTATTGTCAATAATAAAAGGCAATTATTAATAGCAACGACATCTAATGGTAAATGTGGTAAAAATAAATATTAGTATTCATTATCATGGAGTGAGTATTCCCGAAATTGACTTTTTACGGCTAATGGTCATTGCCTTTTATAAAACAGTATATATTTGTCCAGTATTTCTACACTCTTATTTTTTCTTTTTATAATATTGAGGGCGATTGCTCGGTTTAGACTAAATAATGGTATTTCACAAATACTGACTTTCACCAAAATATGAAATTATCGCTACATAATAATTTTGATCTTTCACAGCAACACATCTAAGCGATATATGTGTAAGGGGGACCGGAAAGTAAGGTCGTTTCGGCGCATTAAGCATTCGTTAGTCTTAGAAACCAATTCAATTTTTTCGATCCGGCATTGAAAGGTTGTTGCTAACGAGGGTGAATACATTATTGATTAAAAATAAAATCTTGATAATAAATATCAAATGCACCGAAAGGACATTACTTTCTGGTTCCCCTAATACTATTTTAAACCTAACTTTTTTTTCTTCCTTTCTGCTTTATTCTACGCTTTCGTTGATTTAATAACTCAAATCCAATATGTGTTGCTTAAATTTTATTAGTATTTTTTATTTATTTATTACAAATTGGCTTGCATTCATCAAATATATGATATAGTCTGAAGACCAATTTAAATTTCTTTATCTATCATGAGGTATATCTTTTCCATTCCTTCAGACTTTCTTATCCAATTCTGGTCGTAGAGTTACGTGAGTTGACAACAATTTTATTTCATTGCGAAACTAAGTTCTTTTTCTAAGACACATCCTAACAAAATATGAAATCGGTGTAGAAAAAAATATCTTATCTCTATTTCCAAATGTCGAGTCCATTTCACTTGATAGTGAACTTGCGTCCTTCGTTTTCTCTCCTACGCTTAAAAGAAATTATGGATCTCTTCATGATCCAAAAAGCCAGTTGCGAAACATAAAAGTGGCAATTTTTTTGCGCTTGTTCACTCGTAATGGCAGTTGGGCAACCATATTTTAAAATGAACAGTAACTCAGACATCGTTACCTGTTGTCTTTGAGACACCCACTTTTCTATCGATTACAACTGGAAATCTTTTGCTCCTTTAAAATATCTTTTCATAAAATCCATTTTAATAAATATCTTTTAACTCATCTCTTTGATAAGTTTATGATTATTATTTGAGAAAAAAAAATGCTTCGTTACCAATAAGCATGAAAAAGCAATAGGCATTTCTGTGCTTTACGAAGGAAATCATGCTCTTGTATAATGTATTAATTCTAGGCCTAACAGTAATTCTTTAAGTTTCATTCCACATTATGATTGACATAGTAATACAATTCCAAAAATTAGAGATAAAATTGAAATATAATTCGTTATTGCTTTTTTTTTAATCAATTGACATACATTCAGTATATGTAAAAAAGTAAAATATTCCCGCAATCGCCTACTGTGGACCTGGGGTCATAGAGTTTAAAGTTCCATAACGTGACCAACAACATGATTGCGTCAATGTGGTCAGCATTGCAAGCAGGTAACTTTACTTCCCAGACAAACTGGTAGTCATCGATGTAAACCTGGGTGGGCTTCAAGCCGCAATTGAGTATCGAACCCTAGTTTCTCAGAATGACTGTTAAGTGCCTTATCCACCGAGCCATCGTGACTCCATTAAATATAAATAATTCGATTTAATTCTGCTCTTACTTTGATAAAATCAATTTCAATTTCTTTACCAATCACAAAGTACATCTATCCAATCATTTTAAACTTACTCTGATACAGCAAAGACACGTCGTGTTTAAAGTTACAATAATTCCATTTCGTTGAGAAACAAAGCTATTTTTCTAGGATACATTCTATCAAAATATGAAATCAGCGTATAAAGAATAATTTTATATCTGTTTCAAATTAGTCTTGATATTGAATTTGCGTCCTTCGCTATCTTATTTTTCTCCTACGCTTCGAAAAAATTATGGCCCTTTTCAAGATCCAAAAGCACTGCTGTAAAATATAAAAAGTAGCCATTTTTTTTCCTTCGCTCATAATGGAAGCTAGGCAATCATATTTTAAAACTTATAGTGACTCAGATATCATTACCTGTCGTCTTTAAGACACCCACTTTTGGATGAGTGACAAGATGGGCGAAAAATATAATAGTTTTTTACCATTTCATTCATCACATCTCCACGATTTCCCCTCACTTTTTTTGTCATTCTAACACGCCCACTTTTGATCTGTTTCTTTAATTTTATTCGAAACGAATGATCATTCTAAGTAGGTCAAAATCAAAAACTACAATTTAATTAGAATTAATATTTACGTTATCTTTTAAGATTTACTCCTCCCTTTTTTACTTCCAAATTTTCATATCACAGCTTGACGCTGTGTCTAAATAAATAAAAACTCACGAAATTGAGCAACTTCTTTAGCTGGAACCATTAAACCACTGGACTAAATGTAATAAATTTTTACTGAGTGACAGGGCTAAGTGGGTCGGGTTTTCTTTCAAGTAATCGTAGGAAAATATGTTTATTATTTTTTTAAAAAAATTTTCTTTTTTTACTTCATATTACACGTTCACTTCTTTTTTTCCTAAGAAGTGAAAAATGGGATATTTTTCCTAATAATTCATAAAAGAAGAAATTAATTGATTGAGAAATTAATCGATTTATGAAATTAATTGATTGAGAGATTGCTTTCATTGCATAGCAGATTCGAGAAATCGGAGTTGATGACAATTTTAAAAGAATCGGAGTAAAAAAAAATTTTCTCTACTCCAACTCTGGATTATTTGGAAAAATTGCAAATAATCTGGGAAAATAATATAGAAATACAAATTATTAAGAATATGTTTTATTATTAAATTACAGTGGGAAACAATTTTTTTTTAAAAATTTCTCTACTCCAACTCTGGATTATTTGGAAAAATTGCAAATAATCTCGGCAAATAATGTAGAAATACAAATTATTAAGTCTATATTTTATTATTAAATTACAGTGGGAAACAATTTTTTTTTTTTTAAACGGATCTTGGGTGTTTTCAAGTCGTTGATTTCAAATCTGCACTCTATTTCTCTCTCCAACATTTTTTTAAACGACATTTATAGTTTTTTTTTTTTGTCGAAATGTACAAGTTTGAAAACGTTATACGTAAAAGGGAGTCGCGTAAAGGTTGGTTCAATTTCTAGGGAAGTTATAATCAGGATTAAAATTACATTCTCGCCAACAGCTCATTGTGCAGCTCCAGTACGACGTAAATGAGTTACAACAGCAAAATTGCATAGGAAGCCATACCCAGAAGTGACATTGTACGCAGCTAGGGGCGCTTTCCTTTTATGAATTTTTCTTCCACATGCTTCTGAATAGGTTATAATAGGGGAAGCACCTCTTGATGCGTACGATGACGTTTTCAGGTACGGCTTACGGGGCAATTTTAATCCTTCTGATGTGTCGTAACACCCCTAATAATTCGACGTAAAATTTATGCGACTCCATGTTATATATCAAGTTTTTAAACTTTTACATTTCGACAAAAAATTTACAAATGTGTCATTTATAAAAAAAATTTAGCTTTAGAAGCAAAACTATTTTCTGATTCGAAATCCTCACACTCGATTTCGACAAGATCAAGGTATTAGTATAAATACAAAAAAAATTTGTTCCCAATGTAGTTATAATAATTTTTTAATAAACTTAAATGAATTAAAATATGGAAGAAAATTGTTGTTGGAAAGTGGAGTTCAGATAAGCGTGATGCTTTAAATTAATATTGGCTTAGTAATTTGAATTTGTAACTTTTAAAGCAAATTGATTTAAAATGTAAATTGTGCAAAATTGCATAACTGCAATGTATAAAGCAACTTGATTTCACAATTGTCTTTTTCAAAAATATTTAATTATCTACGCTGAGAAAAAAATATAGTTAAAACTACCAGAATATGGTTAGATTTACCTTGTTTCTGGCTCTATGGGAACACCAAAAATCACGGTACTTTTTAACGAAGCGCTTTAGTAATAATTTTAGTAAAATTAACAGTAAAATATGGTTCTACAATATGTGATAAAATTTTATAAATATGGCAAAAATTTGGAAATTTTATCATAATACCCTAGAGCGTGGTATGAAAACAAGTTATTCGGATAAATTTATTTTTCAGTTTTGTATTTTTAACAAAATGTATGCTTGTTTTTTCAAACTATGAACTATAATTTTGAAAACCAAAATTTTTGGTAAACCGTTAGCATATAAACGGAAAAATGACAAAATTATTGTTTAAGTATTGTATATTTTGATTTATTAACCAAAATTATGAATTTTTCTTACCAGAAATTCCATTACAATAAGGTAATTTTACCGGAATTTTTTTTCTTGTTTAAAAAAAACTTTTTTATTCAGACGATCGATTGTTATGAATCACTTCTTGGAGATCATATAGTCTCTCCATAATTTCTAAATAAAAAAACTCTTGACATTGTGTTCATAATTTTTTTCCCCTGTAATTTCTGCATGAAGATGCTTAATTTTGTCATTATTTTATTCTACATTAAAGGGAAAAAAACTATTAATTATATAGAATTTTGACATAACAGCCAATCAATGTCTTATAAATCTCATTACATAATAATTTTTTTAATTATGAAATTTAGTGAGTACGAAAACAAAAAAAAAGACAAAGAAGAAGAGGACAAAGAGTGCAATCATTGTCTCCTCAGATTTTTTCTTCTCTTAGAAAAGATAAAGTAAAGAAAAAAATCTAGCAATGCAGAAATTTTTTTATTAATTGAATAAGGTTTCACTTCGCTGGTTTTTTAAGTACCCTATCCTTTTCTTAAATTATGTTAAAAAAGAGGATAACTGTTTCGTCAAACTTCAAAACTTGATTAAATTTTTGAGTGCTATGCTGTTATTAAAAGTACCATAAATGACTTTTATTTGAAATGATCGAAGTAATTTTATTTGTCACCTTTATGTCACGTGTATTATATACACAACATGTTAAACAATGAACAGTTTTTGACAATTAATAAAAAAGTTATACTTAACTAAAAACAAAAAATTATATTACACTAGTTCCCAATTGATTTTCTTTTGATTTTAAGAGAATGTTTATAGATGAAATAAATAGATCTGTACAGAAATTTTTCAGTTTTTAATATTCGTAAGCATCGTCAATTAAATTACTATTCAAAATTATTTTACATCCATTGTTGCAACTTTCTTAGGTGGGAAAAAAATGAATATATGCATTTACAAAATGTATTTGTTAATTTAAATACTTATTTTTATTCAAAGATTAAACTAAATTTGATAATTTTTCTTCCGATTTTATAATTTATATATCTATTTCATCACGCGCCCTAGCATATACACTGAGTTGCAAAAATTTTTTGTCTTTCTTAATTTTGAATGTAACAACGATTTTTTAATATATTTCAAAATATAGTTTTAAAAAAATGGATATTAAAATCGTTATGAATTCTAATATTTTTTGAAGGGGTCTCTTATTTTTAACGTGAAAGTTACATGGAAAATTAATTTTTATTTGACACTAGAACAGAAGTCGAATTGGTTGCAACTGCAATTTCACCAAGAAAGAAAATTCTGTTTTTAATTTCTAACTTTTAACCAGTTGTAGTAATATAAATCATTACGTTTATTGCTAAGTAATTAATTATGGGATGAAAAGTCATTATACAGCATACTAAAATTCAAGAAATTATATTTACAAATCAAATTCCCATGTTTTTTGTTAAAATAATTATTCTGGTTTTTAACATTAAAACATCTATTAAACCTGTTGACAATATCAAATGTTAAATAATTTTTTTTAAAATTATTTTTATGTTTGTAAGTTATAAAATATAGATAATCGGTTTTAAGCATTCTACTAAGCTATTATTGAAATTCTTATTCATATGGAATATATTTTAAGACATGTGTATTTTATTTAAAGATTTAACTAGATTACATAGATTTTCTTCCGCTTTTATAATAGAAGTATTTATTTCTAATGCGCATTCTAGAAAATGTTAAGCGTAAAAAATAATTTCTCATTTCCGAATAACTGATTATTTTCTCTCTCATTTATTTCGAAACATTCTATCGTAACATAAATATTTTAAAACTCAAACAATGTTGATACGTTGTATCTATAAAACAAAACCCCTATTTAATCATATAATACATTAGTAAAAAAATTTTTTATTTCCTATAGTGTTATTGTTAAATTTCTATTTCTTCTTTTCTAAAATAAATTCAAAATATTTTATTCAAAACATAAATATTTTAAGATTTAAACAATGGTAAGTTTATTTCTTACTCTTTGACCAGTAGCGTCAATAAAACGGAGCCCAAAATATGCAGTTTCCATCAAATTTAAATGCTTGAAGACAACATCTAATAACTGTTGACCTCTAGATGATTCCTGAAATAAAAAAAGAGGATAAAATTATTAATTATTAAACAAAATAATGATACAGTGAAAGTCAAACCATTATTATAGCATTTAGCCCTACAGCCAAGAAGAAAATCTCCCCCCCCCAAAAAAAAAAAAAANCCCCCCCAAAAAAAAAAAAAAGAGCGATTCATTTAAGGTCGCTGAATTGTAAATTAGCAGGCCAGCTAGCAAATGAAGAATGGATTATAAAATAGTGCCTAACTTTTTTGGCGCAAATAATTACGTTGCTTTACTTTTTAAAAAAAAAGGTAAAATCATTATTATGTTAATTATAATATAATAGAGGTCTTTACGGTGTCGGCGATCGAAAAAATAATTTGAAATTTAAACATTTCATTAGTTTATATATTTATGAAAAGCTTATATATAATTATAATATATATATGTATTTATTTCTAATGCGCAT